CCAACAACGCAATCCCGTACATCTGTGCCCGCGGAGAGTCTTCCTACTGGCAGACGGTCTCCAATGCGTACCCTGTTGACGGGCCATTGGCATGCGTTAGGCCCGGGACGCCGCCGTGTGCTCAGGGTGTCCAATGTTTCTCTGAGCAGTCCGAAGACGCATCCCGTCCGTGCTGATACGCGGGATTGCCCTTAGTCGCCTTATGGACGAGGTCGGAGCAACTGTGCGAGTGTGTTTGTCTGTGTTTGTCTGTGTATGTATAAGCAAAAGTGACCATGACTCTTGTTTGAGATCTCAGTTTCCCATAATCCCGCCAGCCTTGGCATTGTATCATTCCATACCCGGCGCAAATCGCAAAAGCCTCGCTTCTCCACGTTCCTCCTACCCTCTCACTCACCAAGCTTATTGCTGCCCACTGGACCTCCTCTTCTCGGCTCAAATGCCATCATCCTGAATCCCCCAATCCAGCAAATCCCGCATCCCGCACAGCCCAGCCCCCTTTCCCCCTCCCCCAACAATGGTCCGGATATCGGCCTTCGACGTGGAGCAATGGATGGACGAGTACGAGACCACCCCGGGCTGCCTCAACATCGCCGAGACCTGCGCCGCCTCCGTCTCCGTAAATGACCTAGTCACCCTCTCCGAAGACAAGCACGCGCCCGGCCCCGTCGACCTCTCCACAAAGCTAGTCTACGGCCCCATCCGCGGCTCCGCCCGGCTCCGTCAGAAAGTCGCGGCGCTCTGTAGCGGCGCCGGGGCCGGCTCGGATGGCTCAACTCCCGACGTGCTCTGTGAAGACGACGTGCTCATCACGCAGGGCGCCATCGGTGCCAACTTCCTCCTGCTGTACACCCTGGTGAACCCCGGCGACCATGTCATATGCGTGTATCCCACGTACCAGCAGCTCTACAGCGTCCCCGAGAGTCTCGGCGCGGATGTCTCCTTGTGGAGGCTCAAGGAGGAGAACGGCTTTGTGCCGGATGTGAGCGAACTCGAGGCCCTCGTCAGGCCCAACACAAAGGTAATTCATCTTCTCATTCATGACGACAGCCCTTTGGAACTAAGTCCGTTCATCAGATGATCATCATCAACAACCCAAACAATCCAACCGGCATACCCATCCCAACACCAGTCCTCGCCTCTCTCGTCGCCTTCGCCAAAGCCAGGGACATCGTCCTCTTCTCAGACGAAGTCTACCGCCCCCTCTTCCACAAGCTCTTCTCTTCCTCAAGCGGGGACGCGGATGTGCCCCCGCCCCTCACAACCTTTGGCTACCCCAAAGTCGTCGTCACAGGCTCAATGTCCAAATCCTACGCCCTGGCCGGCATCCGCATCGGCTGGATCGCCTCCGCAGAGAAATCCATAATCCAAGCCGTCGCCTCGGCCCGCGACTACACCACCATCAGCGTCTCCCAAATCGACGACCAAATCGCCTCCTACGCTCTATCACCACCCGTCTATGCGCCGCTTCTACATCGGAACGTCGGGCTCGCCGTTACCAACAAGGCTCTCCTTGAAGCGTTCATCGAGAAGCACGAGGGCGTGTGCTCCTGGGTGAGGCCGTTGGCGGGAACGACTGCGTTTATACGCTTCACCCACAGGAGCGGCGAGCCGGTGGACGATGTGCGGTTCTGCTTGGATGTGCTGAGGGAGACGAATGTGTTCTTCGTGCCGGGGTCAAAGTGTTTTGGTCATGGGAGGGACTTTAAGGGGTACGTGAGGATTGGGTATGTGTGTCACACCGAGGTGCTTGTGGAGGCTCTCGAGAAACTTGAGGCGTACATGCGTGTAGCGTTCCCGGAGTAGTAGGTGTCTGCTTGAAGCCATCATGACATGCTTGGCTATTCGAATGGTCACGCCACCTCATGAAGCATTTGACGATGTGATCAAGTTTTGATCAATACGAGTCTCAGGCCTCATACCTCATACGTTCTGTGCTGTTCAGGCAGTCCAAGAACCTGTTCTGCTGCCGACCTGTGTGCCACGGAGGCTTTATTTCTGGAGTTCGAGCAACGGCACATTGACTGACCCAAAGCTCTCACTGCCTCATCCAAGGAATCTTGACTCTTCACCCCTGCTAGTCGATGAGCGTTGCTGAAGCCGAAAGCCATGCACCGCCGAGATGTCTTCTCGCTTCCCATTCAGAACGCTCGAATTGAGACACATCTCTCTCCGGCACCATTTCAATACCTTACACCCACCCAGTCGAATCCTAGTCGTCTTTGCGAAGTAAATATAATTCTCGGTGCAGGTGTAGAGAGACCCCAAGACTCTCCATGTCATAACCGGAGCGGTCGTAGAGTACCCAGCTTTTGGCTGGTATGCCAGATTCCAGGCAGATATTCACCACGAGGAAGTCTAGAGATCTCCAACAAATTACTTATGCAGGAGATATTTCTCTGCAATTTATGCAAGAGCCATTTATTTTGATTCAGCTTGGATTTGTGGAAAGAAGGAAACATTATTCACGTTGAGATCATTGGTTGTAGAAGCTCCCACTACAAGACGTTGCGCGCGGTCTTTCTGACGTTGACAAAATTTGTTCTACAAGTCTTGTCGGAGGCCTTACAAACTGAAGCCCACGTCTCATTCCCCGCCAATATCCCCATCAGATAGATGCCAAACGGACATTCCTATGCGTACGTCTGCCTTCGTTCCTCTGGTATATCCGTATGAAGCATCACAGAAGGTACGTCGTTAACTTCCCAAGCCATGCTTTGGAAACCAGGCTTTGACCCTACACTTGAGTTCCTGGAAGCACCCAGCCGCTAACAGAAGGCTAAGCATAATTGAACTCATTCTCCCTGTGCTCAGAATTCGCTGAAAACTCATCAATAGTCTCAAGGTGAGCCCCATCACTCAGAGCGATCCTGTTTTTTTTTTCTGCTATGACTCTTGTGTCGATACAAGCCAGGGCCGCCTGATCGCTTGGCTGATGCTAGTTTTATCCAAAAAGCAATATCTCAGGCATACTCGCCCTTTCATCTGCAGTAGTGAGCCTACCTACACTGGATATCTTAGGCATTTGGGCGCACTCGATCACTGCTCCAGCCGTGACAGAAGGCATAACCAATCACCGCAAGATCATCAATCAAGATTGTGTTCTCTTATGGACGGAAAAATGACAAGCCATTTCTACGTTGAGCGCGTAGGCTACAACTGTACATGGCACAGCAACTTCTCTAAAAAAATCGCTTTGGTATCCTTTGCACTCGTTCAATCCGGAACGAGGTTCGCCAAACGCCGGTATCCGGTATGCCGGAAGACTATTATACAAACGAGATTCAAGACCTTGCCTCAGGAGGGCAAGTGCCCCGTCCAACCTGCATGTGTTTTCACCCTTCAAGACTTCGTATGTACCAACAAGATAGACTCCAGGCGTTCATTCGTTTGCAACAAGCTCATTGCCTTCAGCCGTAATCATCAGATTGAATATGGTTCGCGCGATCCCAGCTCAGGCCGTCACCTATCGTCGTGAGGCCTGGCACTGGAAGGTTCTATCACGATTTGCGGCACTTGCTGCAATCGTAAACTAGGTAGTCGTGGTACCCTTGAGCTCCGGCGCGAGTCTGCGGAGTTGTTCGTAGTCTGCTCATCTGCAGCCAGGTCGGCCATGCTCGAGGCAATGCTTTCCGCTCGTTGCTGGGCAGGGCCGGGGTACGTCGGCGGAGGCTCAATGCCAGGTTGAGGGGTGTTGCTCCTGGACCGCTCGTCATCCAGCGAGACTTCGTCGTATCCAGGTGGAGAGTAGATGGGCATACCAGCGTCTCCTACGTCAGCTTCAACGTCCGGGCTGGACCCTGCTCGGGTATCTAGGCGGGGGGTATCTGGTCGAGAATTCGCCCGTGATCTAGAAGCGAATCCTGGCGAAGGTAGGTCGCTTTCGATGCTCATTACAGAGCTGCCTCTCCTGTGGTTCATGGTTGATCCGGCCCCAGATCGGATTGAGGTGGCCGCAATACTGGCGGAGTCTGACAGCAACCCCATCCTCTCACTCTCATTGCTGTTGGCGCGAAGTCGTGTACCATCGTGACGAGCAACACCGAGGTCGGCGTAGGAAACACTGGAAACAGCTCTCTGACGTTCATTCTTCAGGCGTTCATGTTCTTCTCGGAGCACAGCGACGACGCTGTTATTGCTGGCAGCCCGAGCTCTGGATCGGATGTTGTCCAGAGCTACAAAGTCACCACGTTCCCGAGCTTCCCGGCGCTCCACTCTCCGCTCCTCCCGCTCAGCAAGCTCTTGACGGCGGGCTAGGCGAATCTGGTAAAGAGCCTCCATCTCCTGATCACGCAAATCCTCCTCTGTTTCTTCCGTGGGATATTCGATAACCACATCGACACCACCGCGTTCACCTTCGCGACCCAGAACTTGCTCGGTTTCGTTCGGATCAGGCCGATAAGCAGGCAGCGTCATAATCGAACGAATCGAAGTATTGCGGTTGACAGCGCTGTTGGGAGACCGGGCATCGGCCTGCGACTGATCGGCCGAGGCATCGAATGCGACAGAAGAGGGGCGGGATCGACGGCGGTCGGTCAGTCGCTCGGTAGAGGTGGAGTCTTCATCCTGAGCCTGGCGGTATCTGTTTCTGCCACCATTTTTCAATATTGATTTGAAAAAGCCACCGCCGCCAGGTTTCTTGTTGTTGCCGCGGGTAGAGCGCCGAGATGCGCGGAGGGAAAAGACGACAAAGGCGATAAAGATGAGGAGAACCAGTACACCGAGGATGACCTTTGGTGGTATGGCGTCAGCGGCTTGTTCTAGGGTAATGGAGGACGGGAAAAGAGTCCTTCACATGTCTTGTCACTTACAATTGTGGTAATTTTCCTGCCGTCGATTTCTTCACGACGTTGCAATGTCGCAGGGTAGCCGGTCTGGAAACCGGCGGAGAAGTCGAGTGGTATTCGCATTTTGAGGTACATTGCGTATAACGAGCGACTGGATTTCGACAGAGTACCGGAACGGAAGGGTCGGCGGTTTAAGGCCGAGAGGCGCTGGAGTTAACGGCGAGGCGGATTAAGGCGGGGCGTCCCAGCTGCGCAAAGCGAATAATAAGCGTCAGGACTGGGACATTGAGACTCGGTAATTGCAGGGGCGCTTATGGGGACGCGTTGGATTGGAGACGAGAGGATGGCGATACAGGTGATGGTCGAAGTGTTGTGGACGTGGGAGCAGTCGAGAGGTGATGTGGGAGAGAAAGAAGGAGGCAAGCAACAGTCGGTTGATTTGGCGGTTGGAGGTGAGATGAGGTGAGGTGAGGCGAGAAGACTGACGGGACCAGGTCCAGGCAAGGTGCAGGTTGGTACTTGGTAGGTGGTAGCGGCGCCGTGGTGGTAGTAGCACAGGGTCAACCTCGAAAGGTCCGGGGTTCCAGAAGCAGGCGGCGAGGTACGTATCCGTGCCCGTAGACTGGGTGTAAACTTGTGCCTCGTCTCTGTGCGCAGTGCTGTGCAGCGCAGTGGGACTTGGTGGTGAACGATGAAGGGTCCTTTCGGGTGGGTGAGTGGGTTTGATGGATCCGGGAAGGGTGTGAGCTTTGTGAGGCTGGGAGGCACGGAGCAGCAGGTCGGTGCCTTGCCCTCGAAGTTCTCTGTATCCGTATGCGTGCTTGGTCTTGGTAGCGATGCAGGAGGGAGGCGGAGGCGGAGGCGGATGGACGAGAGGCAGCAGCGTTGCTGGATCGGATCACCGCTGTCGATTGTCTCTTGGTTTGCCTGAGTAAGGTAATCAAGGTGGGTATCCGTAAGCGTATTGCGTATTGCTTGTTGGATGTTGGACGTGGGACGTCAGGATGACCGGGCTGGCGTATAGTGGACGGTTGAATAAGTTATGTGTATTGAATGATGGATTGATTGGCGTTATTTGGAAAAAAAAGCTGCAGTGATGTTGGTTGCAGAACCTAGTAGGTAAGGAGAAGAAGAGCAGAAGGAGGAAAGGTGAACAGGCAAAGCCTCGGTTGATGTCGCGGTCGAGGTTGCGGGTGAACCTGAGATGAGGACGAGGACGAGGACGAGGATTGCGGATGCCTCAGCGCAGCGCAGCAGCACCTGGGTACGTACTGTGTAAGGTAGAGCTTCGACGGAAGGCAGGAGGCAGGGACGCAGGCACGAGAAGGAGGCAGGAGCAGAGCAGGATGCAAAAGTGGATTGTTGCAGCTGCCCACGGCCGCGCCTGCAGCTGCTGTTGCAATTGCACCTCAGTCTGCGGTTGCCCTTCCCACCTGGACCCCGAGACTCCTTCTCTTCCATTCTCTCTTCCTGACATCTTTTTGGCAGACTCACTGGCCCTCACTCTCTTGCCATGTTTCAAAGGTACTTCTTCAACAACCCACTACAACGTGAGAAACGAGGTACCTCGCACAACAAACATCCTCCACTCCCCCCTCGAGGTGGGCCGCCTCGTAGCTTACCTTAGCGTCGCTCGTGTATGTTCCTTAGTGGGTGCCGGCGGCGGGAAGAATCTATGCGCTAACCTTGTCCAGGTTCTACGTTGCTCTGCGCGCCGCTCATCCCGTTGCAACTCTGCTTGAGGACGATGCAAGTCGTCGCGTCCTCCCTCTCCAATTCTCTGATGCGCTCTCTCTCTGAGGAGTAGTCTCTGGTGTCTCACGTACGCAGCTGCACTGGACCCCGCGGAACGGATTCGAGTCAATGGCCACGGCCTTCGCCGTCAATGATATCAGACAAGACAATCCCGACTGTTCTCAATGCCGCTCCGGGTAGACATAAGATGGCAGGCCGACCGAACCGCCAATGAACCAATGAACCAAGCTATCAAATCATTTGAGTTTACCCCAAATCAGCGAACGCCGTTCATCGAATCATTCTCGGCGTTTTCCAACGTACCTATCTGTGTACCCGTACATGAATACATGACACCGTCATACCTGCCTACTACACACTCCGTGCTCCGTACTCCTATCAGGAAGACTATCTGCAAACACGGCCCGGGCGAAACGTGAAGGAGAAGAGGCCTGTCCTCTGCGTCTGTCAAACTTCACTTGCAGAGCAAACAGCGAGTCTTGTTTCTCCAATCAACCCCTTTCCGCACAGGACGTTCAATCGAATCAATCTGTCTTCCTCCGGGGTTCACTGAGCAACAGGAGCTTCCATTCAAATCACCATATGACATCAATCACCCAAGTACGAATGCCAAATCAGGACCATCCATACATCTGCAGTCAATATTCGAGCCCATGGCCGCTGCGTTAGACACCTCCCAGGGGGCCCAACTTTCAGTCAGCCCAACCCAGACCATCGGGGCGTGAGGCAGTGCCCAGGGCAGGGCGGTGTTGGTGTTGGCGCCAGTCTTGCTCACCCGCTCTGCACAGGCACACAGGCTATGGAGACATCATACAGATTGGCGCTATCATCATCACTGGCGATCCCATCGCGCCGGCAGCCTGTCCTTGGGGCTTGACGTGTGGCTTGCGGCTTGCTGCAACGGTGTCATTCGGCCCTAAAGCTTCTGGCCCACGAAATGTCAAACCCCCCTCAGCTTTGCTCCATCGACTTCCCCGTTTCCTGTCTCTATTCAGGTCCACGGGTGACATCAGACAAAACCATCTCTCACGCCTGAAGAGTCGACGATGGGATTGATCTGTCCTTGACAAAAAGTTACTGCTCCCGCCCCTTCTGTTGATTTCATGCCCTAGGGCAGTGATTTCGCTTCCGTCGCCTGCCGTGTCACGAATTTAAGCATTAGCAGGGGCCTCCTCAGGAACGCCGTCGCTATGCCATGCCGCCATCCGGCTTGGGCTTTTCGATTGATTTGAACCCACTTGGCCAAGAAGAACTCGAGCGCTGTGTCTCCAGTTTTGCCCGGTACCGGTAAACTATTTCCAGCAACAAGCATCATGGCCCAGTAACAGTGCAACGAAAATCAAGCAACATCGACGCACCAGCCTCCAGAGGATAGTGTAGAGCAGCTCTCACCAGCCACCGACTGCTTCCCTCTCAGTACAATATGCGAACTAATCTGCTGCTCTGCCACAGCCCACAGACATGGCAAGCTGGCAGGGTTCCCCGGGACAGGTGAGATAGCGTGGATAGGATGTGACTTGCGAGAAGATTAACCGCCAACATTGGGGCTGCCTGGCAGCTCGCGAGCCAGTCAAGGAATGGCAGGGATGCCCCGCGGTCTCCAGCACCGCCTCATCTGCATCATGATGACCATGTGGCTGGGGACGGAGGGGCTGCCGCTTGCGTGGGCTTACTCCAGCGCTGCAAGCAAGTCATGTCAGCCCAGTTACCTCGCCATCTTCATTCTTCGAAAGCTGCCGCAGCCCTTCTCGAGGACATATCTCGCATGCTGTCCCTCGGGTTCAGTCAAATGGTTCCGAAATCAACACCTGGATACTAATACACGGTTTTCAAGACTTCCTCAAGGGCGCAACGCTATTCAGGAACGAAAGCCTAGCTATCATGCAAGTCTAAGACAGTTGCACTTTTTGTCTAAGACATTTCTGCACGCCGGCTTAAATCACCCAATCGCCTAGCCGCACCCTCTAATTCGTCCACCTTCGCGAGTAGCGCTGACAGGACTCAAGGAGAGAGAGACGACTGGCCATTTTGCAGAGCGGCCATTGCCTGTAGGGCAGCCAGCCGTGCCTCGGGTCGGACAACCTAATGGTTAGGCCCGTTGTGTCAGCTCATTGGAAGACGCCGTCCAGCGCAACCTCCGCGCGAAATCTGGAATCATTCCGCATTAAGGATAAGGCGAAGCAACGTTGAATCGGTTCTCTCAAGGTGCCACAATCTTGACTTATACGAGCCGAGGCTTGGTCTCAGTTCCGCTGTCAATGTCTTCAAGGAGAACGAATTCTTATGTACGGAGTATCCGAGCATATTTGTTAGTCCGGTTGACGACAAACCATGCGAATGAGGAGTATCAGAGAGCCTGGGGAAAGAAAGGCATCCTTCTCCATCATAGGAAAAAGGCAAGACGCTATCACACCTGGCAACCCCATCCCGCTGTTTCACGGAGACCCATCCACTGTCAGCTGCAGCTATCGCTCGCAGGATTTATCACCACACATTGCGGTCTGTATCATGAATCCTGCCAGCCCTCCACCACATGCCGAGACCAACAAAGCCTCATCACTTTGCCACTTGGAAGAAACTAGACCTGGGCCGTTCTGACGGAGCGACATTCCGGCCCCCAAAAGTCGCGAATCCTTCCCCAGGCGTGCCAGGCCACCACGTTGTCAATCGCATCCATGCATAACGTACGGGATACAACTGCCGATCGACAAGATACTGTGAGATTGGTGTACTTTGCTTGCTGCCTGCGCTGCCCATTCATGACAACTCAAAAATGGATGCTATCCCTGATGAAAATCGCTATCTACATCAATTCTAAACGCGCTTTAATAGTGGTTGGGAAGCAATGCCGTTGCCGTCTTTGAATGTGGAGCTGGGAGAAAGAATGCCGCATCGGAAAAGTACCTGAACCGAGATGGTATAAAAATTAAGAAGGGCGCATGTAACGCTCCGCTGTGAAAGTAAGACTGTTAGCTCCGAAGGCATGAATATAAGTTTCTACCTTGTCTTACTCGTGAAGTATGCTAACAGGGGAAGCGTTTGTGAAAATCCGTAACCTACAAACCCGCCAATAACTCATCCTATCAACAGAGCAAGCATTAGGGCTCTTGTTCTCGGGTTATCTGCATAATTCTCCCCGCATTCAGCTTCAGCGAGCAAATCTTGACGGCCGAACCGCGATCGGACATCTGCCTTGGAGAAGCTAATTGCTCTAGGGTCATCACACGCGGCTAGGATCTTCGTCAACGTCTTGAAAGGCTCTTTCTGAAGGATGAAATGCCACCACCAGGGCGAGGACAGAGTGAATAACGATGGCTCGTTGGCTCCTCATCATCGTTGGTAGCCTAGCGCTTGGAGGCGGCCGCCTCTTTTCAGCTTCACCCGTTTGAAGAGAAAGGGACGAAGTGGAGAGGGGGGCAAGAGTGTGTACCGGACCAAAGGCTCTGCTACAAATACCCAGTCTCTTTAGTGAGGATTGGATGAGATGCCTCATTGACTGGAACTCCGCTTAGCATTGATGATATTTGTGAGTATACACCCAGGCAAGAGCCCGACTTCTCAGCGAGGCACGTGGTATCCGGAATATTTGTGAACAGGAAAATTATCTATTGAGGTTACGTACTCAATGACCAAACTACCCAGAGCACCCAGGATTGCTCCCCCATTATGGAACTCAAAGAATAAAGCGAAAATCATCCAAACCATGAGTCGCCCCTTCCCCCTTTCCCTCACATCGCCATCACGTACCCCAATCACCCAAATTTCTTCTCAAACTTCCTAAACATCCCCGTAACACCCTTCTCCAACCTGCCAACATTCGCCTCCAGCCTTCCCGTCGGGTCCTGCTTGCCCGTATACCCCTTATACTTGCCCGCCTCCACCTCCGTAGGCCGATACGCCTGCTGGTGAATAGAGTAGTCGAACGCTCCCGGCTGCTGCTGCTGGCTGCCCCCGTTGCTACTGCTATACGAGTACTGCGAGAACCCGCCTGGCGGGGGCGACATCGGGGCCCCTGCAGCCGGGGGCGCGGAGGCCGCAGTCGTTGCTGAGGGTGGTGTCGGGGGAGTGGGGACGGCTCCGGCTTGCGGTTGGGGTGTTCCCTGCTGCTGTACTTGCGGCTGAGGCTGTTGAAGTTGAGGCGGCTGAGTAGGCGGCGGGGGCGGGGGCGCGAAGCCCGGGGACGAGGGGAACGGGCTGCCGTTCGCGTATGGGTTGACGAGTCCCGGAGACGCGAGGCCGCCGTGTACGGCTTGCACTGGCATCGTTGCTGCGCGCTGGAGGACGGGTTGGCCTGGGGGCCCACCAAATTGCGGCGGTGGGGGAGGGGGCGGGAGGTCGATTCTGCCGTGTCCCTGTGCGCTTTGGAACCCGGGAGGGGGGACGAAGCCTGGGGAGAACGGGGCCTGGGCGTCGTAGGCGACGGCCGCGGCTAGCGGGTCCGCGACACCGTCTTCGGGGGGCGGGGTCTTTTCTCTGTGGCGGATTGTTTCTGGAGCAGCTGGGGCAGCGGGGTTGTATGCCATTGGTGCGAAGCTCGCCGGCTGCTCTTGTTGTTGTTGATGGGCTGATGGCGCGGCGGCTGCGGCTGAGGTAGGTGGTCCGGCGAACGCTGAGCCGTTTTGCTGGTGCTGCTGTTGCGCGGAGGCGCCCCCTCTCGGAGAACCGTAGTTCGGGTCCGATATCGCGACGTGTTCTAGCTGTTGGACGACAGAGCTCACGGGTTGATGTTGCGTGTGCTGCTGGACATGGTGCTGGTGTTGCTGCTGCTGCTGAGGCTCATCGAGGATCTCGACCTGGGCGGGCGGGAGGACGAAGCGGATGCCGTTGACGAACTGGAGAGCGTCGTCGGCCTTCCAGAAGTAGATATCGAGCGAGTGGAGTTTGTAGTGGTACTTGTTCTGGTTCTGGGGGTCGTAGGTGGGCAGGTGCCATTCCATCTGGTCCGTCGTCTCGCCGACGATAAGGGTTACCATGCACTGGTGGTTGTACGAGTATCGAACGTGCGTCTTGTCGAGGACTGTGAATGTTGGTTAGCGGACGTGATACCATGTTAGCTCCAGCTGTAGCTGAAGCTAGATGTGGAAGCTACAGCTTCAGCCTCAGAGAGAGCTCTCGGAGCAAGATACATGGGTTTCTACACACATCCGTCAAAGGCATCTTGATCTTCGGTGCCGGGCTGGTTGGCAATCTCAATGCGCGCGCGGCGGTCGTTTGCGTTTTCGAAAAGGTAAACGTAAGATCCCTTGTCGAAGCGGTGGTGCGGCGGATTACTCGTCGGTGGGCCGTAAAAGTAATGAACGTCTCCGAAGCTGTTGAGAGTTTGAGACCAGTCAGCAGCCGCCATCGTTTTCTATAAATATGCGCCGCCCTTCAATGTGCAAATGAATCGCAAATCGCAAAAGCCCACGTGTGGTTTCGGATGTGGGTGTCGAGAGCCAGAGAGAGTGTGAGAGGGAAAACAGGCGAACAGGGCCAGGTAAGAAGACAAATGCGAGCTATCACGCTTCTTTACCACCTTTTGGGAAAGACAAAAAACCAACAAGAACATGAAAACTCACAGAGTAGCAACGTTTTCCTCTCCCGGCCGGGTCGCCATTCTCTAATTGTGGGATTGCTGCGAGCAGCCCCTCCAAACCTTACCTTACCTTGCCGAGCTTCCAACAACGCCAAACAAAGGAAGCTCCAAGAATAGCTTCCTTGCCTTTTCTCTGTCCAAGGGTTCGGGGCCACTCCCTGGGCCGATGATCCGATTGACAAGCACCAGAGAGGCGCGCAACTTTCTCGGGGGGTGTTGGGCGCTGGCAAATTGTTACCCCGCCTCGGTCAAGGTGAAAGGTAATGTAGCCAAGGGCGGCAGCGGGTACGAATAGAGAACCAACAGAGCTCTATGTTGCGGGCGAAATTGGACAGAAGATGTGAGAAAGTGTGTGTGGCACCTAGTTTATTTCAGGAACAAGATGAGTGAGAGGTAAAAAAGGGGAGAGAGTTTCGTTTGAGGAGGAGGAGGTGGGAAAGATGGACTGTTTTGCGCCGAGGGTGTCGAGGTTTTGTGTAGCTTGCTTACTACCAGAACAGACCAGTCTCGACGATCCAAAGCTCTCTCTCTCTCTCTCTCTATTCCTCTCGTGTGATCAATCACCCAATACCCCTCTAGTCCTCTTCTCTCTCTTTATCTTGGTACCACTCAGTAGCCAGACCGCCTCAAATACCCCCTCCTCTAGTAGGATGAGCAAAAAAACAAATTCGCAAGTGACAAAAAGGAAGGACCAGGCACGCTACCTTACCTTGGGGGTCTTGCGACTTCGCAAAACGCCTATCAACCCAATTGTCCCCGCCATTCTCCTCCAAGTCCCAGAAGCTCCCGAGCTAAGGTAGAGACCATGCGCGTGCCAGGCCCTGCTTGCGTTACGTCTGCTGTGAAATACATGGGTGGTGAGCTGCAGCTGGTCGCATCGACTGGTCAACTCGGCGCTTAGAAGATGTCGGGGACAGCCAATCAGGTGCTCCGGCCGGGGTTGTGTACTGCGTAGAACGGACAGTGACGGGAGAGTGCCGTCGTCGGGGAGTGGGGTCCGAGGTGCGCCGTGGAGCATGGACCTTTTTCCCAAGGTGAAGAAGATAAGATAAGAGGTGGTGAGTGAGGTGAGTGAGGTGGCTCGGTGAGTGGAGGTGAGGTGACCGAAGTACCTCTGCCTTAGTCATCAGTCGACAACGGCTGCGATGGGCGTGTCCAAAATTTTGGCGATAGCTTCCCTGCGGCTTTGATTGCGTGGTGACGGATTATTCTTCGCGGTACCACTGGAGCCAGCCAACGCGCAACGCACACTCCTTTCGAATCTCACAAACTGAACACCATTGAACTGATCGTCAATTGACATCAATACAGTAAGCTCCCGCCCATCAATTGAGCTTCAACGCAAAATCACCAACAGCGGTCCCTCACAGCACCGCGACAACTTCGACGACACTCCCCCCTCGAACCCCGATTCCAACCGAAAACAGAACACCCTCCCAGACCGAGAGCCGACGGCTCCCCAAAGCAATCCAAAATGGGTGGCCTAACAAACGTAATCAACATGTGCTCCCACCTCCAAAACGCCTCCCGCGCACGCCTGGGCATGACCTCCGTCACAAACACAAAGCAAAACCTCAACCTCGCCCTCGCCCTCCACCGCTCCGGCTTCGTCTCCTCCCTCTACCGCGGCGGCCCGACCCCGCCTGCGCCCGAAGACCTCCTCCGCGACCCGGAACCCGTCACCTCGGCCAACGTCGCCACGCGCCGCCTCTGGCTCGGCCTCAAATACTGGAACAACGAGCCCGTCCTCCGCGGCCTGACCATGGTCACCAAGCCCACGCGGCCCATCAACGTCCACATTGAGGACCTCGAGCTCGTCGTTCGCGGGTTCCCGACCAAGAATGGCCTCGTCAAGGGGTTGGCGCTGGGGGAGTGCCTGTTTATTTCTACGGATAGGGGTATCTTGGAGGCGAGGGAGGCGCTAGCGAGGAAAGTTGGCGGTATGGTACTGTGCCGGGCGAGATAAGAAGGGGAACATAAGGCCTTGTTGTAGGTCAGCGGCGAAGAAAGATGGCCTTTTAGAGAAGGGAGAATTTTGATAGCCACTCCCTACGAGGAGAGAGCACCTGGGCCACGGGCAAAAGGAGTCTTGGGAAAAAAGAAGACACCACAGGGCAGGCGTCGAAGTCAACACGTTACTGCTCTGTAGGAGCAATGTCCTCCATATACTGTACAAAAGTTGTATTCTAGAGAAGACACGAACACACCATATTTGAAGCTTTTCTGTTCCGTGGCCAGATTGCAGCGACATCTGCTCTTGGGGAACACTAAGTCCGAGCTGCCTTTTAACAAGCTATGGCTCACCCGCGTAGAGAAGAGCATTCAAAACTACACACATACCATGCAAAACTACTGAACCTTTTAAATGTCCAAAAGTCAGAACAATTCTGTGCGAGTGGTATTCATTCTCTATAACTGATTTCGGGCTCCAGACACCAACTTCTCCATGCTCCGGAACTTTGAAATTTCTCACGAAGTAATTTACGCCTTTTTGTCGGTCAGGTATCATGGTACACCCCAATGGTTTCTAAAACTATACAATCACCTCCGCCACTCTTCGACAGAATTCTTTTTTTCATGCAGTCTCAGTCTTGACTTCTGTGGTCGCCTCAACAGGGGCCGGAGTTGACTCCGTCTTGTCCTCCTCCGCCGCTTCCTTCTCATCGGCCAGTAGCTCCTCGAACTCATCCGGGCTCTTAAGCTCTTGGTCCTCGGCGTCTTCCTCCTTGAGGTCGAGCGTGGCAGTCTGCTGGACGATGTCATCGAGCTCGGGCTCCTCAACACGCTCTTCAGTCACGGCCTCCAGCTCAGGCACCACGGTCTCCTTCTCCTCGACAGGAGCATCAGCCTCAGCCTCCTTGGCCGGACTAGGTTCAGCCGCAGTCTCCTCGATAATAGGCTCTGGTGTGGCCGGTGCCTTTGCCTCTGGGGTTCTCGGTGCCTCGGCGATGGCCTCGGCCTCTGCGGTCTCAACGACATTCTTGACTGGAGCATCCTTCTTGCTAGCGAAAGGGCTGCCTGTGCGGCTTCCCGCCCGTACCGCTGCCGGTCGAGAGAGTGCTCTCTTGGGACTCCTTGAGGCGGAAGCCTTCTTGGCGCTGCTCGGCTTTGCGCTCCTGCTTCTAGGAGGGGTAACGGGAGCCTTCTCTGATACCTTTGAAGTCGAGCTCGCCGTGGGTCGCATCATGCGAGCCAGGAAACCTTCGTCGACCTCCCTATCTTTCTTGGTAATGGGGTGGTCCTGAAGGGGCTTCTTTGGCGGCGGGCCAATGCTGGGCCGGGGCCGGTTGATGACTGAGTTCTGGCGCTTCAGAGTCTTGGGCGGCGCCGCAGCACCGGGCGCGCTCGCTCTGCTAGCCGGGCGGCCCTGGCTGCCAGAGGCGCGCGCAAGGGTTTCGCGAGGAGCTTCCTTGACTCTTTGGACGGAGGCGGCAGTCGGGGCCATCAGCGAAGCAGGCAGCTTCACGGGCTTGGTGGGCGACTTGACCTTGGGCTTGACGAAGCCAATGCCGCTGGAGGGAGAAACCTGCACGGGCGCGGGTTTCTTGCCGGCACCTGCCGTTTTCGCAGCGGACTTGGGGGTCGAAGTCGCCGGCTTCTCGGCCGGCTTCTTTGCGGCATCGTGCTGAGCCTTGGGGGCGCTCGGCTTGGAGCCCCCCGTTGCTGTGGTAGGGGTCTTGGCAGTGACTGGAGATCTCAACGGTGTCTTTGCTCTCGTGATGGTAGCGGGAGGTGCCAGTTTCGCCAGGGGTTTGGTGGTGGTCTTTGTGGAGTTTTTGGGAGCCGTGGACCCGGCGGTCTTTGCGGCAGCTGTTCCATTGGAAACGTTGTGGTCGGGCGACATTTGCGTCGGGTCGCCTGGGAGTAGCTCTGGCGTAGGCGTTTCGATGTCTACGTGTTTGTCGGGATTGTGGCTCGGGTGGTTGTTCAGAGCCCCCAAGCTACGAGGGGAGGCTCCGTTTGTCGGCTTGTCCGTGTCGGGGCGGCGAGGTGACTCGGGAATGGGGCTGCCGACGATATTTGTCTTGTAGCCCCCGGAGGTGTCCTCGGTGGCCATTGTCCTATCAGAGAGGCCAGATACAGACGCCTCTCCCTCGGTATGGCTGCTGAGCCTTCGCTGGGACACACTCGACTCGTTGCTGGGATCTCGGCGGAGTCCTACTCTTCCGTCCTTTTCAACAGCAACAAAGCTCGTTCGAATCTTGGAGAGTGGGCGGGTGGATGATAGAGGGGGAGTTTCGGTGCCGTCTGCAGAGGTATCAGGTTAGTTGAAATGCGTACACGATGGATAGATGGTGTTTGGAGAGTCAAGCTGAGCAGTTCTATGAACTGGGAAGAGGTCGATAAAGCAAGCTCGCCGAGAGAAGCTGCGTCCATTGCCATGGAGCTAAGAACGGCGGGGGAACTTACTGGAGGAGAGGCCAGGGGACCTTCCCCGATCCGGGGGACTCGAGTCGGCTTTTTGCTCGAACATTGCCCGGAGGTTCTTAACGGCTGACATGGCGGCGGTGTTGAGTCGCTACCGAGCGACTTCTTTGCAATCAATGTGTTGGAGGAAGCTAGTGGGATACGTGGAAGTTGCGACGGGTGGATCGTTTCGAGACAGAAGTTTAGAGGCAAGAATCGCGTGCGCCAGGCGTGGTGGGTTACAATGGCGGACTCGAACGTTGAATGTTGCCGGAAAGAAGACGCATGCCCGGTCAGTCCTCGTGTTTGCGGAGGAGTCGGTATACAAATCGAGGTCGAAGGGAAGGAAAGCTGCACTTGAAGTCGCGACACAGCTCTCGAGGGTCGTCGAGGCAGAACGGCGCAGGGGGGTTGGACGGGGCTCGTCGCGGCGGTGTCAGTGCAGTGAGGCAGACACTGCCCAACGGCTGGAGGATTTCGAGTGTTGGGCAAGAATTGGTGGAGGAAGAGCGAGTTGCTATGACAGCTGGAGATGCATGATCAACAGTAGGTCGGGGGGGTCTTGGTAGTTGAAGCAGTCAAACAGCGGACTGCAGGCGATTGATTGTTGCGGTGGATGGTGTTGTATGCAGTTTGTATTGGGTGATGTGTTGTTTGGATGTCTCAGCCAAAGTCTCGTTCGTCTCCAGGCCTCGGTAGGTTGTAGCTCAGAGGTGTAAGGTGTAAGGTGGTCAGTCCCGTCGCGCGTTTGCGTGTCCGTGCCGTCCAGATCAGAGAGATAATGCCGGTGATGTATGGGGGAGAAATGACGAGAGTCGAAAGGTGGGTGGTTCGAGAAGGGGGAGACTCAGGGAAGTGAGGTTTCTGGCCTTCAGGGCTGGCATTTAAATTACGGACACCCCATAATCATAATCAGAGGCGGAAAAGGGACGGCCGACGTGGATATTTGGGCAATGGGCGTGTGACTGGATCGATCCAAACGAGCCAAAAGAGCCCACCGCCACTATTAATCGCTCTCTACCGAGTAAATCTGTCTGTCTGTCTGTCTGTCTGTCTGTCTGTCTATGCTGAACTATCCAGGACCAGTTATCCATCCATTACCTAGTTCCATACTTGATACAGCTACCTTACAGATAGAACACTTCACCATACTGCGTCGGGGGCAAGGGACTTGGACTGGAATTCAGGGGTTCCCATAAACGCACAAGCTCGCTCTGCTACCACGCTACCAAACCGTCCCGACGCGCTTGCCAGCCTGCCAGATACAAAGTTGCACTCCTGGCACCTTCACAAGGCGGTGGGATGTTATGTAAGACAGATGTATTGACACACTTGGGTACAAGCTAAGGTACGGGTGCTGTACAAGGTACTTGAAGCTTGAGTGGAGCAAAGATATCCAGTTTTAAGATACCTCAAGCGTCTGTAATGTGTAAGGATAGGTACTTATGCATCTATACAGCACCGGTGCGGACATGTGCCTCCTCTATGCAGGATGTCTGCAGCAGTGCAGCAATCCGCCCCGTGTCACTGGCCCTGGATCATCCTCTTTCGCTTCTCGAATTCGACTGCAGGGACCCCGAGTGGGAAATCCATTGGCTCGGCCGGGGTCAATTTACCAGAGAACATGGTTCTGGAAGGAAGCTCATTTCCTCTGGGCCACTGCTCTGGTATCAGAATGCAGCTTCTCCAGACACGTCAGTACACTACGGAACTGATTGAATGGCAGTGACTCTTTGGTTTCATCATGTAGAGTGGTGGGTAGTTACTGGCGATGGGCCCTGGGATCTCATCGCTGGCCCCCTTTTCTAAGGTAGCTTGGGTTCTTGTGATTGCCCGTCCTTTGGGCCTCAACAGTCTACGAAGTAAGAGTCGGGAAACGGAAGAAGCCAACTGGCCCCCAATGACGCCCCTCACACCTGAAAATTGGCGTTCTAAGCTAGTCGGGAGATTGTGTCAGCGATGGCCGTGCTAAAAAGCCTCAATGAGTGTATCTGCTGGACGGTTCCTTCGGAAATCGGGGCACGGGCAAATTGAACGAGACGAACAGGCCTGCGCCAGTGTCAGTCTGGCAGTCATCGGAATCAGCTAGCCGGAGAGCAATGACTCTGTTCCGGTTCGTACCTGACTAGGCGGATTGGCGTGACGGTTGGTGGCCGTTGATTTCGAATTATCAAACGTTCCCTCCTGTGTATTTTCTCTCTTTCTTTGTCTGTGACTTGGTGTTTCTGAACAGCTCCGTTCCTTCTCGCTGTCTTTCCCCTCCAAAATGGGAAGCTACGTATCGGGATACTTATGCACGGTCTCCTGTTTCAGATAGCCTCTTCAATCTCCTATCCGTTTTGTGCATTAGTGCGCAATCTGCAGAGCCCATCGTGTATCTTGTAACTGCATGCGGTTTGGCTTACCGCCTTTTGTCGTCTATCGTGCCTTAGCTCTGGCCCATTATACAGGAACATAATGCATTATTCGTTGAAAAGAAAGGGGGTCCTTCTCGAGCCCCTCAGACGCGCGGGGACAAAGGAAAGAAAAAGACACGCAGGTATCGTACAGCAGCGGAAGGAGAAAAAAGTTAGCATTGTTGACATTCAGTCCCGTTTCATTGTTGCTACCATGTCCGGCTGCTCCAGCAACTATGAGTAAGGCCCCATCTCCATTATCAATCAAGAACCTCAAAACTACCGTCATGTTTTTTGCCTCGCGTGCCTGTTCAATGTCCGTAGTGAGGAGAAGTTGTGTATCTGGAACACTTGAACCCGGGAACCCCTCTTCAGTCTACCCAGTTGTTAATCACTCCAGTCTCGATCCCGCCTCCGATATGTGTCCTAGCCGTGTCCACCAGCAGTGGCAAGTGAACATCACCTCCCATCTCGGGACGGAGACACGGAGGGGAAGGAGCAAGGACTGGACTCAAGGGCTCCAGCTTCTGGGGGTGGTCATACCGCTCCCCGGCGCGAGGCGAACCTCCCGTCTTCTGGAAGCTCGCAGTAACAGGGAAGAACCGGGTTTGGGGGCCCTTTTCCCGCTCTTCGACCGTCTCTTTTCGACACGCTAAGAAGTGCAGAATGTGGGGAGGAAATTTCTCACCAGTCTCGGCCCTTGCTCCAGGTCTACCCATAGGCCATTCCTCACTCTTTTCAATGAGCTTTCTCATATGCTGACTGACTGGCTTTCAATGTACTGTGTACTGTCCGTCCCATGGTCGAATTTCGGCGACGGGCATGTAGATATGTTTTCCGTCTCAGAGGACGGTTCTCGTGTTCACTCATAGCCCGCAATGGACAAGGCGGATGGATGCTGACAAAATCGTGGCTGACAGCGCATCAATCCCCAAGCCTGCCGAAGCCAAGTTCCAAGTTAAACTCAAAGCCCACGACCCGGTCAATTGTCGCGAAAGCGAATCAAACAGAGTCCCAAGACGCGCTCCTGGTGCTACTGTGCATCCCAGATTTGCCAATGTAACCGTGACTTGACGCAATAGTGCGGAATCAACCGTGTTCTAGAGAGCTCCGATGCACACCCGCAAAGTACGTACCGCGGCTAAGGTAAGCCAGTAAAGGCAGTGAGGACCCTGGGGGATCTTGTCAGTGCCGACCACCAATTGGTCGCTCGCCGGATCGGCCCTCGGTGTGCATGGCCCGTACCTCCGATATCGACCGTGCAGGTGAGGTGGGCTTTTTTTTACTTTTGCGACTCATTCTCCTAGAGCTTCTGCTTCAACATTCCCTCATCCATCCGTCAAACCAGCACTTTGGACGCCAATTGACGCCCATCATGTCTGTCAGAACTCTTAGAATCGGTAAGACTATCTTTGAACAGGACAATTGACCTGTTTTCGTCCTGTAACCCACGTTAACACACTTACCCACAGGCCTCATTCCCGGTGACGGCATCGGCAAGGAGGTCATCCCCGCCGGCCGCCGCGTCCTCGAGGCCCTCCCCTCCTACCTCGGCCTCAAGTTCGAGTTCACCGACCTCAAGGCCGGCTTCGAGACCTTCGAGCAGACTGGTGCCGCCCTCCCCGACAAGACGGTTGAGATCCTCAAGAAGGAGTGCGATGGCGCCCTCTTTGGCGCCGTCTCTTCCCCGACCACCCCCGTCAAGGGCTACTCCTCCCCCATCGTCGCCCTCCGCAAGAAGCTCGACCTCTACGCCAACGTCCGCCCCGTCAAGACCGTCCTGACCGCCGCCAAGCCCATCGACATGGTCATTGTCCGCGAGAACACCGAGGACCTCTACGTCAAGGAGGAGAAGACGTACGACGGCCCCAACGGCAAGGTCGCCGAGGCCATCAAGCGCATCTCCGAAAACGCCTCCCACCGCATCGCCGCCATGGCCGGCGAGATCGCCCTCCGCCGCCAAAAGATCCGCGACGCCGGCGCCGCCAGCATCCACTCCCGCCCCCTCGTCACAATCACCCACAAGTCCAACGTCCTCTCCCAGACCGACGGCCTCTTCCGCGCCACCTCCAAGGCCGCCCTCGCCGACCCCCGCTTCGCCGGCAAGGTCTCCGTCGAGGAGCAGATCGTCGACTCCATGGTTTACAAGCTCTTCCGCCAGCCGGAGGACTACGACGTCATCGTCGCACCCAACCTGTACGGCGACATCCTCTCCGACGGCGCCGCCGCCCTCGTCGGCTCCCTCGGTCTCGTGCCCAGCGCCAACGTCGGCGAGGGCTTCGCTATTGGTGAGCCCTGCCACGGCAGCGCCCCGGATATCCAGTTCCAGAACATTGCCAACCCCATTGCCACTATCCGCTCCGCCGCCCTCATGCTCGAGTTCCTCAACGAGGAGACCGCTGCCGCCAAGATCTACGCCGCTGTCGATGCCAACCTTGAGGAGGGCAAGCTTCTCAGCCCCGACTTGGGCGGTACCGCTAAGACCACTGAGGTTATCGAGGATATTCTCCGCAGACTGTAAGGTGGTGGTGTGATAGTATCGGATGAAATCTTTCTTTTTTAATCTTGAGAGGCTGAATTCATGAGGACTGGATGTGGCAGTCGACATGACGGTAGTTGCGCCTTTGATACCTACCATATTACCCAAAAGCATATGTTTCTTGACTTGACTCGAGCCAGTGTTCTGTGAATGTGCATAACGCTGATGTGAAAAGACGTCAAAGGGCTGAGAGGAAATCAAACCGTTCTGTTGCTCCGCCATTCATCAAAGCCTGAACAGCGTGGACTGGCCAAGCAACGGTTTCATCTCAGCCCAGAAGTATTGGGCTTCGAAAGACATGGAATACACACTCACGAATAAACCACAACCACTCCACCCCTGCATTCATAGGCCATAATTCTCTAGACGGAAAGCAATGAGCGCCGTCTCAATGTGTCTATGACCTAGTGGTGGAAGTATTCACGCATAATTGCGTCCCGTAAGGGTTGCGAGTTCGGATTGGGTGATCCTACATAATGCCCCAGACAGCTCATTTTTTTTTGTATGTTTTGATATGATCCTTCAAGAATCCCAACATGAAAGGAAGCACTTCATTGATTTAATGTATTGGCAGAAAAGGTGTATTTGCAGAAAATCAAGAAAGTCTTGTATTAGGGCGGCGTCTATGCCTTGTACGCATGACGCGATTCGTCTCTTTATGGACGAAGATGGGTATCATTCCTCACCAAAACCACATCGCACCAACTATGGCTCTTCCAAAAGCCCCTGTTTCTGTATCAAAGCTCCTCTACTGTATTCCATTATCTTCAACTGCCTCGTTGATGCAAAAAGTCGCGTAGCCGAAGAAGATCTGATGCCGCCTCAAGACCACTCGGACTTGCGCGGGTCGAATCTGCGGCAGTGACCACACTCGCAGATGAAGCCGTACTTGTAGTAGAGCACCGAAGGGTCTTGGCCGTATGAGATAGTGAGCTCCTCGCCCTCTTCAATGACCCAGTCCCTGACAGTGAACACAAGAGACTCGTGACTGGCACGGTACTTGTAGTCAATCTTAGGCAAGCATGAGTGATTGAATCGGCCCGCGACGGCGAAAAGACCAGGCATGTTCCTCTTATTACCCGACTTGGATGGGACATATGCCGCGAAGCTGTCATTCAGTCAGGTTTAGAAGGTTGAAGAGAGAATGGGAAGGACCAGGTGACCTACGCGTTCGTGTTCCAGACCGCTTCCTCGTGAGTCTCGCCATCCCGGCCTTTGTGGCCAAACATGTTGTTCGCGATCAGGCGCTCCTTCTCCGGCAAAGACCCTACAGACGTGGTCACGTCTGCGTAAATTGCATGGTAGAGGGCCTTTTCGACGAGGATCTGGTCGCCCTTGTACAGCTTCTTACTCGCGAAAGCGCCCCAGCCAGCCGTAGGAGACTTGCGAACCTCGAAGAACTCGTTCGAGAAGATTGACAGCCTCTCCTTGGTGTCTTTGGCGTTCTTGTAGGTTGTGAGAAGCGGCAGTTCAGCAGGCTGAAGAAGGATTGGGGATTCAAGCTTGCCGAAGCCATGGCTGTAAATTGTTAGGATAAGTAGGAAGTATTTTAAGGAGAAGACTTACCCTTGGTAAGGTCCTTCGGAAGTGACGCTGCTGGCACTTGAGCTTTGCGACCAATCTTCGTAATAGCCCTCCTCAAGCTCGTAGTCCTCATCGTCATCATCATCATCTCCATTATCATCACCATCGACCACAATGCCTTGCGCAATGTAGACAGTCTTCCAAGTAATCTGGGAGTATGGAAGAGGGGGCAGTATTGAATCGATGAATGCCTGGAACTCTAGGAGTTCAATTTTGATTCTCTGTGTGTGATAGCTGTCAGCCCGGTCCTTCTATCTTCGGATTCCAAGGTCGCACTTACCTCAAGCGGCTTGCTCAGGCTCAGGATATTATTGGCCATTTTAGCTTCGACGGCAAGGTCAAGGACAGCATAAAGGCTGTATGTGTCGGTGTGAAATTTTGTCCGGACTTGAAAGTCGACAAAGAAGTCGTCGCGGGCCATGACATATCTGTGAGGATGAATCGCTCCAAGAGGGAAAGAATTAATGACCTCCATGGTAGAAATGAGGTAGGTTGATGATGTAGTTGGATGATGTAATTGGGAAGTTCACACTCAATGTGATCCTGGGTGCCCAATCTCTTAAATATGCTCTCCTGCGGTCGCTCTTGCTTGTTTTTCTTCTTGAAGCAATCAAGGGAAAATGATCGGTGATGTTGCTAGAGGCTGGAAAGTAAAGCTTGATGCTGTGGTTCCAAGAGCTTATCCTTGTTTGTGTGGTTGGTGTTGGGGATTGGTCCAGATCAAATGACCGCAACCAAAATGAGAAAGAAAAAAGTGTTGGCTGCACAGAACATATTTTCGTCAGCAAAATTTCAGTTGCCAAAATGTTGCTGCTCTTGTTGTCAAGCAATCATATCACGGTGTGTCAACATACCGAAAGAAGTGTGTGCCAGGATTCACGTGAGACGAATATACCCGGCGGATATTCAGAAGCAGAAGCCTGGTGGGAACAAAAAAAGAAAAACAGAAGATAACCAACAACCTCAATGTTATAGAAGTCGAAGAAAACTGTTACTTAGCTGTCCCTGTTTTGAAGCAAAAATCTCAAAAGCTGAGCAGAGGAGGTGAAGACCTAATGGAGAGTGAATAGAAGATTCAAAGAGCTTTATTTAATTGAGGCCGTTAAGTAGCTTGGATGGCTATATTCAGCTCGTATTCATTCCTTCCTTTCCTGATCTGATGGCCAAAGTTGGGAGGTACGACCCACCCGATATTATGAGATTAATTCTCACGGCAGGGGCGAGCAATAGCAGGTGGTAGTTTCCCACATCATGTTTTATAAAAGTGAAATAAATACAACCCAAGGAACAGCGTGAGAGCCTCATAACTTCGCTTTGTTCAAAAATTCTTCTATATAAACCACGACTTCTTTCATATGGTTGTGCTGAAAGAACAGCAGGTATGGATCGTTTCTCAAGAGGGAGGAAACCGGGGACTAAAACTCAGTCTGATTGGATTTTGAAGTCAGTCACCTTTCACTAAATTAATCATCTTGAGTACTGATGAGACTTGAGACTTTTGAGTATTACTCAAAGCACATGTCTCCAACGATGAGGTCTCCCGAATAAGGATGGAGGGGCGTTCTTGAGACCAGAGACTCAATAGGTCAACCGACCCGTTAAGGCAGTATCTTTGAGAACGAAGCTCTCAGAAGAAAGCCCTCTGTCAGCACCTCGGATTCTTGAAACCTCATTTTTACTTCCTGCAAGTCTCGCTTGGAAGGGGCCTTTGAGTAGGTAGGTAGGCACATCCTCTTTATAGATGTCTTGCTCTTTATGTAACCACTGAATAGTCTTGAGTTGACTTGCTCTTTATGTAACCACTGAATAGTCTTGAGTTGACGACAACGGAGTATGCAATAGCAACATGAACGAAGGAAAGAAACGCTGACAGAACGAGAAGCACAATAACAGAGGATCATCCAGTAGAATCATTGGCTGAAGAGCCTACTTGGATGGAATCGCTTCAGCATATGTGGTTGAACCCAACCCGTCAGCTTGAGCCGTGCCGCCGTACCGATCCAGCCACTCGACTGCCACCCATCGGCCGGCCCAAACCCGCGTCAGCGTCTCCTGGTGTAGAGAAATGGCGTCCGAAAACTATGGCAGGCAAACAAGACGACAAGCCAGGCACCGGCCGGCGCTACGCTCTGCATGTGTTACAACGCAAGCCCGGAACCGGAAGACGAGCCGATTGCGACAATGCTGCTGCTAAATGCAAGTGTTCATCCGTCAACCATGGCCCAGGCGTAACGTCGCAGATTTCAGCCAGCGCCCTCAACAAACCGGGCGTTGCTCCCGCGTTTCAAACAAACCGCAGGCAGGGAGCGCGCTCGGTCCAGGAGGTATTTGGCCTGAGCAGAAAGCCAAGCCTCGTGGGAAATCGAGAAACATTCTGACAGACACCGCAGATCAAACTTGCGTCTTCGGAAGAATATCAGCAAAGTGGTAAAGTTGCGCAAAGGTGAGGGACAATGTGAAGCAATAGTTCGCACGGTAGTGTGTGCCTATGACTGCTTTGGCTGCGCTTGTCAAACCCATTTGCCTGTCTAAGAAGACACTTATCCATGTTGACTTACAATTCCAGAGAGAGAGAGAGAGGCTGTGGATCTGACGCTGCGACAATAAGCAAGGTTTCGACTTCTGAGGTCTAAAGCAATGAGTCACTTGTGTTCCGATATCCACAATGTCTTGATGCGCGTTCTTCGGGGAACCAGCCGGGAGGAAAACTTGACGTGTGCGTAAAGTACGACCCAATCGAGTCCGCCACGAGTTCTTTCGGGGCATTTGTTTCGCGCTTTGGCAGAAATAGTCCGGAGCTTATGCAAGGTCCTCCCGCCGGGAGTAGAAAAGACAAAGGTTTTTTGAAGTATGCAGGGACGAAGAGTAAGAGAAAAAAAAAAGAGGGCGCAAGAGAGACGCTTGGTGTCGCGTAGAGACGGAGGTATTGCCTCATGTCGGTGCATGGCTAGGTCGAGCGAAGCATCGACAGACGGACACATGTCTTGAGTCGAGCATCATGCCTGATGACGTACCGCAAGGGTTGAAGGTTCGTGACGGGGTCAAGCATGCGTGGGAAGCAAAGCAATGTGGATGCAATCTGATGAGAAACGTTGCGTGTCCTGTCAAAGCTTTGCCCTGCTTTGTTGGGATAGGGATAGGGCTGATAACTGTCCAGCAAGAGTTGACGATGTCTAAGAGCATCCATGAAGACCTCGTCAAGTTCAAAGAAGGGAACATGAGGCGCAAGCGGGTGCGATGGAATTAGCCACACCAAGAAGCTGAGAGGGACAGGAGTTAGGATAGTCCTGCATTGGCTGGCAAGTATGCGCACCGCCTCGTTGGGATCGATGATCGCACCGAAGGAGTGGAACATTCCACGTGAGGTCCGGAGCCGGTAGACCGGCGGGTGATTCCTCGACTCGGACCCTTCCATGCCGCCCACTTTTCAAACTCTTGGTCAGGAGTCGCATCTTATTCCTTCGCACTGCATTTTCCAAACTCGATGAGACGCCCTGTCGGCCGTTTAGCCCTTGAGTTTGAAGAGAGGGAAAAAAAATGTTCTTTCTCTCGGCACTGACACTTCTGGTCAACCCACAGACGAGCAAATTTCCTTGCACCCCGGGGCAGGGTTGGTTTAGAGTCTTGGTGAGCAGAAACGACAAGAAACTGTGCTGGTCTCCATTCCGTGGACTCTGGAGTCTATCCGAGCTTCAGAGTTGCAAAGAAAGCTTCTCCTCCGTCCGGCCCCGCGTGCCGGGAGACCCGTTAGCATGGTCAGCCATGCCCGAAGCTCACGCCTCGTTCGGTGACTGGGCGAAGACGCAGCCAGGTAGCAAAGCTCAATGTTTCTGCTGCCCTCTAGGAAGGGTTCCGGGTCCGATGTTCAGGCTCACTTCATCATTTATCGTTGCAACTTGTTAAAGTCACTGCCCGATTTTCCATGTGTTACCCTGGTCAACTCGCAAATGGTTCCTTTTGCCCGTCTTGTGCCCGGAAGGGGTGTATCATGGCCCATCTGGTTCGCTTCCTCTCCCACCCCCTTGGGTAGTCTTGATCCGCCAGGCTTCCACGTCCGATCATCGAACGCAGCTAGAAGGACCGGGTCTCGCCAGGAACCCTTGCCGCGGTGATCCTACTTCAGACGGAGAGCTACGCCCTCGGCCGAGTCTCAACAAGAGTGAAGCCCACATGCGCAGCAGGCACATGTCAAGTAGCTTGCCCTAATGCAATGCGCGAGCCTCTTTTTTTCTGTCTACACTTTTGCTCTTGTTGCGTTTCCCTTCTGCAACCAAAATTCGTCCTTGCTTCGGCATTTCGTCATACGGTCCGATGGGATGCCATGCCATGCCATGCCCGCAGAACTTTCCTTCAGGGTGCAGCCCGCCGGGGAGATATACAAGCCATGGACGTCCCCGTCTCTTTCGAAAGGACGAGCTTTCGTTATCAACCATCCCATGATTGAATCAGTCCACTGTTATCAGAAGCATTACTCGCCTTCACTTGCAGTCTACACATAAGAATGAGCCTTTCTTCTCACTGGTCTGCAGCTACTTTATCACATTTTTCCAGCTTCAACCATCAGACTCATTGATCGCTCATCACCAGCCGACTTGTCACCTCATTTTCCTCGGACCCATCATCTGTACATCAAGCAAGGTCTCTTTCAGGTAAATACATACCAACTCTTAGGACAGCAGAGCAAAGTACTCAACCTAGTCAATAGATCTCATCACAATGGACTACAGAAGCTCAAGTAGATCGAGCCGCTCAGGTTCTAGTCAGCAGTCAAGGCACCGAGACGCCAGCGGAAGACTCAACGAGGGCTCACATTACGTCAAAACCTCAAGTAGTGATCGATCACGCGAAGTTCCCCAGGGCCGCAGCGGCTACAACCGAACCCGCGAACATGGTCACGGTGTTTCACCGAAAGGCAGATCCGGATACAACTGAGTCCGGTATCGATCAACGCTGCCATTTTCTCCAGCAACTACAAGAAATCAGCAAGGATGGATGCAAATAGACTATACAAGAAAGGGTTCATGGGATAGATATTGGAGAGGAGGACACATTTTAAAACCAGAAGGGGGCAACCCATACGTAGAATCAAAACGGTGATTTCCAACGATGCAGGCAGGGAAAATCAGTATCAATAGAAGTTCCGATTGAATCAAGACTATTCCAAGTATCAAGGACCACTTCCCAGTCTAACAATACAGTATTTCCTACCCCTCGAATCCCACTGAAGTCCTGTTTTCCTCCAGTTTCCCCCCAATTTGAGAGCGTTTTTTTCCAATCAAAGTCAATCAAGAAGCATTAACGACCCACCAATGCTGCAACCAACCTTACATGCTGGACAAGAATGGAAACAAAAGACCAGCCGGCTAGGAGCATGAAATGCGCTTCCATTAAAGCCGGGTAGCAACAAAAAAGCCATCCCGTCAGGCTGAGCCCAGAACACCAATGAAGAAGAAACCACCCTAACAAGTTATTGCAAGTAGCCACACCGACAACCAAATCCAGGCTAGATAGACAAGCATCTCAACTCTCACAAACATTTGTGGAAGCACATCTATGTCTAGGCATCACACCGGAGGTCTGAAAGCACTCTTCACGAGACAGTGCTCACACTCAATGTACGACTCATTCGACGGCACCCAGTGCAGACGCCGACAGTCACAGACCGACCACCTCTCTTCCGTCAGCGATGTGATGAGCTTCCTCTTCTCATACAGACCGTCCCTAACACCGCACTCGATACAGAAGCGGCGTAAGAGACCTTCCCCATTCCGCAGTGTCGGAAGCCTCGACTGCTCCTTGTCACCATCGGCTTTGCCGGCGTACCGCCCGACGATACAACCTTCAGACGACACGACAAAGTAGTCGGGCAGCTTCTCGAAGGCGGCCTCAGGCTTGATCGTGTGGCAGCGATAGCAACCGTACCCCTTGGGTGAAGCTGCAGTACCACCAGCCTCCTGAGACTTATCCCTTGTTGTAGAGTTCCTCCTGCCGTCTCCTTTACTCTTACTTTCTTCCTTCTCCGGCCACGCGCAGATCTTGGGGAACTTTCCTTCAGCGTGGATGATGAAGGCCGTCTTGCAGGAGTCGGATGCGTACCACGACTGGTAGCCCTGGGTGCGCCAGTATGGCCCTCCATGTAAGGAGTCCCAGTCGACTTGGTCGAGAATCCGGTTTCGGAGGGCAGGGCACATGTCCTGGAAGAAGTGGGAAAAGTCATTGTATGGCCTGGGGAGAGTTGATCTCGAAAGGGTGGAGAAGGCGACGGTTGGCGTAGGCGGACTAGATCCGGTTACAGATGCCTGGGTTGGGCTGGATGTCTGGTTTCGTTTTGGTGGTGTAGACGTTCGTCGATGACTTGGGAGGTTACTGAGGAGCCTCGGGCGTCTTGGAATGGGTGTAATGGATGGGTCTGAGGCTATGCGACGTCTTGGGGCAGCGGTCGAGCGACGTCTTCTAGCTTGGTGTTCGGCGGCTGAGAGTGCCATGTTGAAGGTTGTTAGATTTTCGGACGATGTTGTTTCTCTTGGTTGATTCGATTGCTCCTTTCGAGTAGACGTTCTTGTAAGTGTTAGGTTCAAGATAACTTTCATAGACTGAACCAGGCAAACCTACGAGTAGGAGTTTACGAGAATGTCGAGACTGAGAAAAAGTTCAACAAATTTCGTGTCAGATGGGATGAAGATTCATATGGCAGATCGGAAGGATTTCGAGGTGTAGCCCTGGTCGTCTGGTTCTTATACACTGCCTGGGAGATCCAGATGCTTGGATATTGAATTTGCATGAAGGACGGGATGCCAGGCCATCTGAACAAGCGTCACGACGAAGCAAGGAGGAAAGAGGATGAGTAGGAGCCAAGCAAGGGCTAACAAGCGTACCCTGCACCTCCAACAAGAGAAGGAGACGAACAAGCACGCGCAGCAGCGGCTACACACCTGACAAGGGGAAGGGGGTATAAGTCTTGCAACTTGCAGATAATGCATTTCAAAGTGAGAAGTGGGCGATTCACTTACCTCTTTGGTTCATCAAGACTTACCGTAGCAACCTATTGCCAACGGCAAGACTCGAAAGTCTTGAACTCCATCCCATTCGTACCCTTCCTTCTCATGTCTTTTTGCTTCTTCCTACGTCCCGACCATCGGTCATTAGAGGAACCTTAACCACTCATCTTCGTCTGCCATCACTCTTGACACCACTATCAGCCCGTTCCCGTCGGGACAAGAATCTGCACACAAACACGGCCGCCCGAAAAGCACTATGACATCCGCGGCTCCTCGGAGTCCTGATTCTTGTTGGTCGACTAGACGAGGGGACATTGCCTCAAGGCCTATCGCAGGCTCTGATACCCTCACCGGCCGGACCAGGGTTTCCCTGCAGTTGCAGATCGAAAGAGGCACCTAGACTAGCTAGACGCCATATCCAGACTGAGAGATTTTGACGGCACCATGGCATCAAACCACACGCAGGGGACGGGTGGAGGATGAAGAGGAGAAGGGGAACTAGGCCTGGGTGAATACTTATTTGCCCTGCAGTGGCGTCATGCCAGAGAGGGAAGAAGTGGAGAGATGGGAGGGGGCTTTCACTTGTCAATTGGCATGAGGGAAAAGCAAAGATGGACGGACGTTCGAGTTTCTCGTAGGCCGTGGGAGACTGTGGTAAGGTCTTGCACCAACAAGCGTGTTGCACCTTGCAAGGGGGGGTGTTCGACCAGGTTCTGGGGCTCCTAGCAGCCCGGGTTTTGGGACCGCATCTCTGTTGGCGGTTCCCAACTTCCTGGAAGTGTGATTTGAACACGGCATGGAGAGACGATGGGGGGTGGTGGGCTTGTCCAGGACTGGACAAGTTGCACAATAGGGCTGGTCATGTAATACTATCAACCTTCCGCTCACCAGTAACATATGCCCACTTCAAAGCGGACACTCTCCGTCGCATCGGTCTAGACAGCGTCTATCGTTCGAGACCTACATTAGGTAGAATATGCTTAGAGCAAGTTGCACTCAAGTTGAATTGCAGCTGTTTCTTTCCAAAGGGGATCAAGGGCGCGATCTTTCCAAGACATTATCGTCTAGCATACCTACTGAGGTTTCGGAAGCGGATCTGGAACACTACCTGCCCTCCTCTGCATCAAAGACATGTCTTCCCAAATAGGTAAACAATGTCGTTGATGGTGACAGGGGGAGGCGAGTGATGCCTGACGGGTCTCACGAGTCACACATCGACAAACCAGCCCAACGCCACGAATCGTGAGGGCGGAATTGCGGATGGGGATATGCAACCTGCACAACCGTTTGTAAGCCGCGCATCATATCCTTCAACCACGTTCCCCCGTCACATCGTATAATGGTATTACACAACAAAGAGGCAGAGGCAAAGGCAGAGGACGGAAGCTCCCCGCTTCGCTGCGGTCGACAATTATGACCAGCCGCTCGAATCGCTGAGGGTGCGCCCAGAGCAAACTGCATACGAGAGCGGAAGAAGGGAGATTACACGACGTAGCATCTGGTGTGATAAGTGTGACGACCCAGCGTGTCGGTTCCGGCGTGCTGGAATTTATTCAAATTCCTGAACGTGCCGCCTCCAACAACCTGGTGAAAAGTAGAAATGAGGTGAGTTGGGACGGGGGATCGGAACCCGCCCTTCCCTCCCCCTGCACGTTCGGCCGCGGGTCGAGGTCCTTCTGTCTCGACTCTCTCTTTCGGAGAGTCTCTCCCCTCACAGCCCTGCTCCCCTTGTTAGCGCTGGTCGCAAAGCCGCAAACAAACAAGCGGGAGCGACGTTGGCGATGCTGGTCTTTTTGCAAATGCCCTGAGTAGGCATCGATCCAACACCCCACCCCGGTCTCTCCTCGTTGGCAGGACAGGGGTTTGGTTGGAACCGTTGCAACCGTGCAACCAACATCGAAAACAAGGGTTGGTCAAGGCGCTTCGCCCTTGAACATATGTATCCACATCCTCCGGGGGCCCTCGAGGCGTACATCCGGAGCTGGAGATTTGTGTTCCTGGATCTTGGGCAACAAACGAGGTTTTGAGTCTTGGAGTCTTGATCTACTCACCTTCAAATCTACCCTCAACACTCATTAGAAGAAGCTAAAGGAGTACGGAGGATCACGGACTTGGAGGCTCTCTTCCTCGGTTCTAGAGCCCGCCTCCCCGATGACAATACGCTGCTACTAGGGGAGATATCCATAGGAGGAACGATTGAGCGGGAAGCTTGTCGACAACCTTGCCAAAAGACCACCTCCCTTCTCTCTCATTGTATTTGTGTTTTCCTCTTCCTCGGAGATATTGAGTAGTCTCGGAGACGTTGTGCAACCCTCCCCCATCCCACCATCCTCCCAGCGTCATGTACATCCGATAACCCGGAAGATACCTGCAAGCTTCGATCTGGAGATGTTGGTGGCCATCTGGCTCGCTCGCTCGCTCCCTCCTCCTCTTCCTCTTCTTACCTTTCTTGGTCCGTGATCCCCAAACCACCTACTATACCCTCTTCCAACCGATAGCATGATAGCATGATTTCTGCTCGAATGTATCTGTTTGCTTCCCCTTCCCAAATCCCGACCCATGCCCAGAGGCCGTACGGGCGCTGCGGTCTCGGCCGTTGACGAATCTGGCCACCTGAGCCGAATCATCGCGCGCGGACTGCGCTCCGTGATCCTTGGAGTTGATTGCTCTTTGATTCGGTATTACTCGCTTTGCCGCTGGCGAACATCTCCTCGGTTATGGCATTGGCGAGTCGACTACGCAATCCATCGACTGTGGTCAATGTACCGATATATGAGTGAGAGCGTGTGGGCAGTGTGCGCGTGTGCAAGACTTTTGGTCAAAGTTACGAACACTGCATCTTGGTTCGTCTAAGTCGACCGGGGAACTCGAGTATAAAAAGAATAAAGATTTAGTGCAATCGCCCCTCTCTCTTAGTCTTCGCAGATGAGGTGT